CAGTAATAATATTCATTTAGCTTAATGGCAATGTATTCATTTTTTACCATAGTATATTTATAGCTTGTAATTGACAAAATAATAATTAAAAAAAAAAGAAATATTCAGTTTCACAATAGTTTTATACTACATATTACATCATCTCTTTCATAGTCCAAAATGGTTTATCTTTGATCTACAAATGTAAAGATATAAAATTATGTTTGTATTATAAACAGAGTATTGGAAAAATTGTATTGACTTTTAAAAATACTCTTAACCATGTAATAGATAAGAGATTTGTAGCAATTAAAAAACTAAAATGATTTGATTTGGAACAGTTAACACAATTTATATTGTGCATGTAGTTAACAATCTAGTTTCGAAAAATAAACCTTTATATATAATGCATGCATTATATGTATACTCTAATTTACTTGTAAATACATTATATGATCCCCGATTCTTTTTTTTTATCATGAAAGATTGTATTTTTTTTTTTTTTTTTTTTTGCTTTAGTTATTCCCGTAGACTGTAAGGATCTTCAATCAGATGGATACATTAATTCAGGGGTGTATGAAATCTACCCCTATGGCATAATGACCAGTCCTGTCCGTGTTTACTGCGACATGACAACTATGGACGGAGGGTGGACGGTAGGTTCTTCAAAAATTTAAATGAATAATATAACTCGAATTGTTTTTGACGTCTTAAGGATTAAAGATAAAAATGAATATATATTATGAAAACAAGAGCTTGATCCAAAGAGTCGTATCACTTCGAGTTGGCAGGCGCAGATCATCAGATCAAACGAGACTCGAGGCGGCTCTTCGGATCAAGTTATTGCTATAATTACAAATTTATTACTCCCTTATCAATAGTTAAATATGACAAAATGTAAGTTTATTGATCAATAGTGTGATAATTATCAATTAAAAAGGATAATTAGTAGGGACTTTTTGATGCGCAAGAAAAATGGCGTCATGCCTATGCGTATTACGTCATCAGTTTCAGAGTGGTGATATGGATTCAGAAAACCACAGTGTGGTGATCTGATAAGTCCGCGATCACGATTCACACAATTGCTTAAAATAAACAGTAATATTGAGTGATACACATTAGGTATGATATAAATTTGAATATTTTGAGTTTCTATCATAACATATAGTTTTTATGATTGTTCGAAGCAATAAATTGAATTGTTATTCATGTTAATTTCCAAAGGCCATTCAGAAACGCATAGACGGATCCGTTAGATTTAACAGGACCTGGACGGAATACAAAAATGGTTTTGGTTCCCCGGAACAGAATGTCTGGGTTGGTAAGTGAAAATGGATTCAAAATAGGAACTGATAAGTAAAAAATTAGAGCTTAATAAAGATCTGAATTTAAGATTAGGTAATATGTGTTCTACGATATTCACATATCATGAATTGATTACTTAAAAATGAATAGAAAAAGAGGAAAATCTATCAGAGGCAAAGTCTTAATAAGATTGAATTTAGCACCAACATCTACATACGTATGGAAAATGATTTGATTTTTTATCACGATATATTTATATCTTTGATAGAATTAATTGTATTTTGAGGATTTTCAGTTGATTTAAAATACATCTTAATACAGGAAATGACTTAATACATCAGTTAACAAAAGAAAACAACTCGACCCTTTATGTGTCTATCACTCTTCATAATGGCGCAACGCTGTATGAAATGTACGACAGATTCTCTATCTCTGACGAAACAGCGAAATATAAACTCTTTCTTGCAGGACCTGCCACGGGAAACTTAGGTAGGTGTATTCATGTTATTTTATTAAAGAGGGGTTCAAATCACGTATATCATCATTTAATTCTTTGCATTGAAATATTATTAAGTTGTTGAAAAGAGACACATATACGTATATTTTTCCTATCCTTTTTTATTCCACGGTAATTTTACCTGAATGAATCAGACATTCGTGATAAATGCTTTTAAACTCCGATACATGTTTGTTTACATGATTTTTTGTTGTTTCACTTTCACTCCGCTAAATACTGATCAGTAGTTATGGAATATTTGGTTGTAGCCTTAAGATATATGCACTGCCCTTTCACTCACAAACTGAGAATTTTAATGTAAAGTTGGAAAAAATAAGTTTAATTTTTATAATTCCAATTACGAAGATTAAAAATTGTTTCTTTTTTAGACATTCATACCATCCATTGTTTCTCTACAGCGTTTAATGAAAAATTAAAAGAACAAATTTAATAAAGTTTGGAAAATTGTAAACTTACTAATACGTTCGGATTTTAGTCTGCCGTAAACAATTATTATTCCTCTAATATACAAAACGTATAATTATTATTAAACATGGCCATAAAATTAAGTTTTACGGTCACATTAAATTTGTTCGTTTAATAAAATTTAACGTAGATCTTTACCTCATTATTTTTTGTTAAATTCACACTTTACTTTATAATACTTCCAAAAATAAAGTTATATACGGAGAATTGTAAACTTACTAATACGTGCAAATTTTATTCTTTCATAAACTAATATTAAATCTCTTGTATATGTGATGAAAATGTACGGATTATACCTTCCCATATAATTAAGATTTAAGGTTGTATTTGATGAAATTCAACATTATTATATTATTGCATAATATTTTTATTTTACATTTATTCCATCAATAATTTGTATGGTTTACAATTGTGGGTTTTTTGGCAAGTATTTTACAATCTTACACAAATCCATTTCTCATTCAATTTTATTTCAATAGTGTACAAACAATGAGTTCTAACAAAGTACAAAATATTTCAAATTTAAGCCTAAAAGTCAGAATTAAAAAATTTACAATCATGATTGTAGCTCAATTATAATGGAGTAAATTTCTACATACTAGTAGTAAGTAATATACTGAAGTAATTATAAATAATATAAGAATAGTATTGTATGTAAAATTCAAATCCGCAATAAATCAAAACACAACCGGTAAAAAATGTAGTCATTCTGGAGTCCAAAAGACTGCAAAATCTGACTGAAACTGCCCCTATTAAAACTTCTGCATGGGTTGTAAATGGCTTTTCAATTTCCCACAATAAATTATATCATACTTTGCATAAAAAGAATAAAAGTTGCCAATAAAAGTTGTCCATTCTTTTTACATGTACATTTTAATAAGACACACTAAGCCACTAACAGAGAAGCCTCACTCGCCCACAAGCAACAGCAAAAGGATCGGTCAGAGACACCACCTTTCTCTTACTTGGGTATCAAGATCTGCAACTTACTGCCAGCATAGCTCTTTTAGACCACCCTAATATTGTTTCCCAAGTATTTCAACAATAGATGTCCATGCACTAATTAGCCAAGTTCAACTTGAAAAATACTTAATGTTGACTGTGAAAAATACAAGACCCAAAAAAATCCTTTATATCATTTGGTTATGTCAATTCAAATTAAGGAAAAAGTATCACAATTACACAAAACAATAGCAGCTTAAATTTGTTTACAATACATGTAGCTCATTTCTGTTCCAACTGCTACGTTTATTGCTTGATGATTGTAATATAACATATCATCATTAAATCAACGTTACATTGGAATGCAAAATATTTCGATAGTGATATTTTCAACTTTGCTTTAAAATATCAAAAATGAGCTCTGAAACATGCACATATAAAAGTCCTGTATAAACATATGTAAAAGTATATTTAACAATTTTTTAAGCCTTAATTACAATTCCATAACTCATAATTCATAAACTCTCTTACTTCAAATGGAAGGAAACAAATTAATATTTCACTCTTGCAATATCAATTGTAATATTTATTAAAATCACAATTTACCCCTTTTTTACTCAGAAATGTCTCTACCTCATTTGCCTATTCTATTTTTTACATCTATGACTCACTAAGCCACTGACAGAGAAGCCTCACTCGCCCACAAGCAAAAGCAAAAGGATCGGTCAGAGACACCACCTTTCTCTTACTTGGGTATCAAGATTTGCAACTTACTGCCAGCAAACTCTTTCAGACTACCCTTGATCATGATTGTCTTATTTTTTCCACAATAATGTCCATGCACTTATTATTTAAGTTAGACTTGTACATATATGTGAGATATAAATCAAGATTAAAATGTATGTGATTGCAGACCAATAAATGTTTAAACAATAAAATACATAACAGTTTTAATCTGTAATCAAGCATAAGAAAAAACTTTCACTGTCAAAAATACAACACTAGGTATATTTTTCTTATCTAACATTGAATTTGTGCAAAACAGTAGCAACTCAGATATTTCATCTCTAATAGCCCATCTCTGTTCAATTAATACATCCATAGGTTTGACTCTTTTAGATTCTTTATTTGTCCTAGTTCTTCTTATGCTCTGTCTTTTAGAGTGCTTTGATTTGAGAATGGCACTTTTGGTGTCCTGTTCTTTGAAGACATTCTCACATTTATCAGAACGCAACTTCAGCTTTCTAATTTCATAGATAGTATTATCTTTAGAATCATTTTTTGTACTATGAAGATGTAACCAATATTTGAAACTGCTTTTTCTTGCTTCTTCTTCTCTTCATGCCAAGAAGTTTTCAGCTCTGGAGAAGCACACCTAGCTCCTAATTTCTACAATAAACATAAAAATAAATACCCATTTGCCTATATATACATATTATATGTGTGCTTCCGGATTTATGCAATTGCATATATTAGATAGTAAAAACAAAATCTGAGTTGATTTTAAATTATCATTTGACCTAGAGGAAACACAGCTCAATTTTGCTTAATTAAAAATTTACAGAAGACTACAAAAGATATGCCATTTTTTCAAATCTGGGTAATAAAGACAGATAATTATCTATAATTTCAGGCCAGCGAGCTACAGATTTCGAAGCGTGTAAATTTGGGTCTAATGATTTTTTTCACCATCTTTTTTTTGGAGCATTTTACCTGCTTGACCTTGAACATGTTGAGATGCCCTTTTCTCTGCTCCTCCACACTTATTCTTTCATTTAGCAGCAAGATACTATGGATATGGTAAAAAGCTGTCATAAACAAAATATGAAAAATTAATAATAGGTGTGGCTCTCCATAGAAAGAATATACAAAAAAGGAGAAAAAATATACAAACAGGGTATACTTATGACTAACATGACTACAGCAAGAAGATAATATTTTACACAATGAAAAAAATTCTCTGTGTCATCTAGTTAAGTGAATTGCATAAAAAAAACATATAATTATATGTATAGATCAAATTTATAGACGACAAAATATGATATGAAACATACATAATGGTACCGTAGTCCGAGCTCATGAAATTTGAAGCTTTACAAAGTTTACGAAAATGCAAAGAATAGCATTTACAGCATTTATCATATTAAGACACACATATATATAGTTTCACAGCAGCAAGCTGCAGAATTTGTGGAAGTACATGTAAATTGGGGATTGGCGACTTTTTGCCATCTTTTTTTTTTTAGCAATTTACCAATATATTTACCTGCTTGACCTTGAATATGTTGATGTGCGCAGCCCTTTTCTTCATGTTCCTCCCCGATATTTTATTTAATGTAGCACAAAGATACTATGGATAAAAAAAAATATGAAAAATTTAAAAGCAGGTATGGCATGGTAGAAAAACTATACAAACAGATGTATTTATGATATAGAGCAAGTAGATAACATTCATACAATAATAAAATCCTCAAATTTTGTGATCTAGTACATATTATGATATGTATTATATTAAATTTAGAGACGACAAAACATGATATCAAATGGGTGTACATACTCGGAACACCTGGAATTTAAGAGTAAACTTAAATGCAAAGGTTAGCATCTACAGCATTTAACATGCAAGTTATTGGTATAATGAACAAGTGATTTAACATAAAGTAAAATATATTAACAACTTACACTGAAGATAGCAAGTTTTTAAAGTGGACAACAAATGCAAACTTCCAGTAAATGGTGGCAATCTCATACACAATAAGTTGTACAACAAATGATTAGTTGTACCTCATATTGGGTAGTGAAATATCTGGTCAAGTCACTTTCAGGACGAGAGCCTCAGCAAGTTCAATGTTGATCATTCCCATAGCTACTTCAAACTTTTCTGGCACAATTTCTGAAAAAAAGATGTATACTGCAGGGATTTTTATTCAAACTAGGAATAATTCTCATGAATGTAAAAATTTGAAAAGTTTATAGATGACCGACTAATACCAGACACAGAACAGAAACTCGCTCGGGTCTTAAAATGGCTCAGGTGAGCTAAAATAAATCAATTCATGTGATTTTATTGATCTTATCAGAAAATTTAAGAAATCTTACCGTTGTGTTAATCTTCATACTGCTTTTGTCATTTCTTGTGAGCATTTGGATTCATGTAAATAATGCATGCATAATTGTGCATCATAGAATGTGATAGCTATTTTTAATAATTCATGAATGCTTACGTATTTAACGTAAAAAAATTATGCATAGCTCAGAATCCATTGCTATTGTATTTTAAGGATAAGGAAAATAAGAATATAAACCTCGTATTGTCTACTTGGTAAAGAGCATTTCAAGTTGTTGCAATATTTTTTATACTCTTATGCATAAAGATACAAGTTAATAAAACATTGTTTGTTTATTTGTGATAATAGAAAATTTGAGCGGTATGGTTCTCACCATTTTCACAAGCTGTCTACATAGCCGGCGTTATGGGGAATCGTCTCAGGCACAGTCCACACTGCAACTATTGAAATAATCAAAATAAGTGCTCAATATATTCTTGAGTAGGCATTAAGAAATAAATAAATAATTTATTACATTGTACAACACTCTCTGTAAATGCTGAACAGAGGAACACTTTAGTGACAAAAATTCTGAAACCAAACCCAACGAAAAAATTCTGGTTAAAATCCATCTTTAAGTTAGATGGTTAAAAGTGTTAAATAATTATTACAAAATGTAAATAGCGCTTGCCAAAACGTTTTTACTGCCAGACATTTTATGTGTACAGCCCAGACTAAGGAACAGTAACATTATCAGTAGCAGAGGCAATTATTCATTCAAGGACACATGATAAAATTTTGTACATTGTTCCTACCGCTAAACAGGGTCGTAAATGTCTTCATCTTCTGTTAAAACATAAATTCCATCCCAAGTTTATCATGCTTCTCCTTTTCGAGTAACTCTCTTTCGCCCCTTCCTCCCGTACAACATCATGATCAAGTTCAACATGGCTGCGTGGAACTCTCCAAAAAATTGAATTTCGGCGCGGTGTGTTGTTTTTAAATAAATTGCTTTTCGAGCCCGACTTCGATCCCGATGTAATTGTAGTACAGTGGTAGTCGATAGAGAAAAAAAAGTTATATTCCACAGTTTTGAAAAATCTACATAAGGGTTAAATAAATAAAAATGAGAAATAAATAAATTAAAATGAATTGGGTGCCTAAATATTTTTTTTCAAAAATGTTTCAACATAAGTTTACATTAGGTATAAAGAATTATTTATGACATATTCAAAATACCAAAAAATGTACTTAAACTTTAAGTATAAGCATATTTACTTTTACATGTCGATATTCGTAAACGGGACGTATAATTATCTCAATTAAACTATATTATTCTCGACGTATTTTGCATTAAATATGATTATACTTGTTTGAAAACTGTATTTAATTATATCACAATATATCTCATGTAAAATTTACCGTTATACATAAATTAAATTCAATACAAGAAATTTACTGGAGTAAACGAATTTATTAAATTATATTAAACGCGACTTTTCATGCAGTGTATATTGCTATTCTTACGCGGGTTTGTTAAGGCAGCACACGGATCAGAATTCGGCGAATTAAGACTTTTTTATAATGGTTAACACTAATAAATCAGAAAAGTTACGGATGAAACTGTTGCTATCATTATGCATTTTATAGACTTCAATGGGACTTATACAACAGGAAGCACTTCACCTTGTCGTCATCACGTGACGTCTGTAATTAGAATATATGCCTTAATGAAAAAGTAACATTACTCCGGGGATACTTAATTTCAATTTGTAATATCAAGTATGTAAAATATTTCTGTACCATACAAAGTGCTGCTAAAATCCTACCGTCCTATCAGAAAAATAATTATTCAACACTTTCGGTCGAAACCTTCACAAAATTTTACATTTCGTTCAAAACATCGAAAAAAATGCATCAATTCCCGTTAACCATACGATTCTAGCAGCAATTTCCAAAAACAATAGAATAAGAACTTTAGATAGAAACATAAATTAAGTTTCAAAGTATGTGGCGTAGTGTTGAACTTTTGCATCTTTTTTTGTTACGAAAGACAGAAGAAAGGCTGATCGGTAAGTAAATACCCTACCTGCTTTAATATTACGAAGAACGTGTACAAGTATATTAGCCTAACTTTTTCATATGCTTTATTCCCACATGAAGCACACATGATATTCAATCTGAATGCTTTTAACTTCCGATTTCTTGTGTTTGTTTACATGATTTCTCGTTACGTTTCACTTTCCCTCTGCTACTGCATGATCAACAGTTATGACGTCACGGATTTGGTTTAACCCCTGTGATAACTACAGAGGTCCAAAAACGACAAAATTCCATTAATGTTTTGCCTCTGCATATTTTGATTCATTTTTACGACCTCAAATCAATCTTAGATATCAATTTTAAGAAATTGTTATCTCTAAACTTCACATCATATAGCTTACTATGACGACATATATAGGCAAGTAGAATATTTGGTTGTAACCTAAAGATACCTGCGTATTATTTGGGAAAAGTGGATCTTAACATGAACAACAGGCCAATCGTTGAATACTAGTAAATAGCAACGTTTATGCCTACTGATGTTTACATTTTAGGTCGAACACATGGTTCATGTCCCTTTATATTCAATATCAAATGGACTGAAAAATATACAAATATTATAAAGTGTGAAAGATGTAACAGGCGTTTGCAATATATAGTTCACTACAAAATATGTATAATATGTAATTATGTACCATGTGTCAACTTGAGAACACCAGTCCTTCAAGGATAAGAAAAATGAGCTGCATCTCTAAAGCATTAAAATGGTTTAAACACTGAGATTTTATCAGCTATTTCAATACCCGTGGTCACACGTGTTATTGTTCAGGGAACTGACAATTGTAAAATAAATATTTCAAAAAGGAGTAGTGAAGCAACCGACTTGCAGAACACCGTCGACTAACATAGAATTTAAAGTTTATTTGCAATCATAAGCATTAAATAATAGAATAAAATATATGAATTGCCAACTTCCTTTACAAAATAAAAAGTTAGAATGTTCTTTGTGCCTTTCCGATTACCATTAGATTTGTTTATTTTTTTCAGCGCAAAGTTCCTGATGTACATTGAGTAACCCACAATGCAATTCTCATTGAGCTGATGTGTCAGTAAATGTTGCCTCATTTGCCAATCTGATGAAAATATATATTGTGAAACATGTGAAATAACGAACAACGTTTAAGATCAAAAATCCACAAGAGAAATCAAAACACAAAATAGAGCAAACACGGACCTCCAAAACATCAGAGGTAGGATCAGGTGTCATGGAAGAGTGAGTATCCCCTCCCGATCGTCACATCCACCATGTGCTCCTTGTCATGATTGGGAAATACCAGAAAAGTCTGTCGTCAATTCAGTGTATAAATAATGGACTAACAATAAGTAAGAAAAAAATCAGTCAGCAGTTGACTCAATCTTGAATTGTATTTGCTGACAAGGTCATTGTATCGACAGAACTTACAAAATGATGACTTTAAACGAACCAGATGAAATTCCTGTTTCATAAACTTGTTTATCAACAATTTACCTCGTTTTTAGAAATTATTCATACATAGAGGATGCTCTTGCATATCAAATAAACAGATATATACAGACTCTATTTGTAATTGATGAAGGTATATGCTGCATAAGTAAGGAACATTGTCGATAGAAAAGTTAGTCATCACGATTACTATATAACTTGGTTGTTAGATTATCCTTAAGGTCTTTTTCAAGTAAAATATCCAAGTATGAATCAGATGAGCCAGACTTTGTAGTATCTTTTATCTCAAGGTATTTAAAATCAATTTTTGATTGAATAATCAATCCATTAAAATTAAATGATGTTTTATGAAATAATTAGAAGTTTGCTTGATGTCATAAAAATGTCAGTAACTTAGGTCTGCTAACCGGAACCATAAATGCACTCTCGTATGTGCTATTTCGAGGATATAAACCGGACATTAAGGACGACTTTTAATTAAATTCATGTTAATTACTATGCAACTGAAGTTTGTCTATAGGTTACGGACATCAAGTGATGCCTAGTATATTTCTAAAGAGGTAAGTATGAAATTTTTTGTAGCCGTTTCATAGTTTATTTTCAAAATTCATTGTGATTTTTTTTAAATACTGAAATCAAAACTCTCGATCAGCATTTCGACAAAATTGTCTTTTAGACCTCGGATTTGGATAACATTATATTTTAATTTTATTTTATTTGCTAAAGAAATATAAACTGAGGATACCCTATTTGTGTAGTGGTTTTGGATTTTAATTTCACTAGTCCTAGTTTTTTTTATGGTATTACATCAACACAGTAAATTTTGCATTAGGGAACTGACCTCATGCTTTGTTTTCTTTTCTGTGCCAGAAAAACGTCATGTTTTATGAACAATATCTCTTCAGAACATTACAGTGCTAAGGAAACTACACAGGAAGATACAAGACCTTTCAGTTTAAACTGAAAGAAGGCTTTCAGAGACTTTTCAGTTGCCATTCAGCCACTGAATGGCACATACATTTTAGTGACCTATCAGTTGCATTTCAGTCACATTTTAGGTACCTTTCAGTCACCATTCAGCGGAGACGTATCAATTGCACACTGTTATTAGCAGACCCATTTTTCTATATAAGGCAGAATTTATTCAAATTCTTATGTGTGAAAAGAAGAAAACATTTGCTGTTGCCTTCTACCCGACATTAAATGTATCCATGTGAGCATGAATGAAAGATACTACACCGTCTAACACATCTGTTTCATATTTGGATCTTTTACTTTAAAAAAAAACCTTTTTAATTTAACAACCAAGCTCCTCGATAAACGTAATGACTAACTTTTCTACCGTCAAATTCCCTTACTTAAACAGCAATTTACTTTAATCATTGCATACAGAGCTCATATATCCCAGTTGATTCGATCCACAAAGGTAGGTTCTACGTAAGAACAATTTCTAAAACTAGGTAAATTATTGACAAACAAGTTGATGAAACAGGAATATTAGCAGTTATGTTTAAGATCATCATTTCGTAAGTTTATG